GCATGTCTTCCGATCATGCACATGGATGTTTCCCAGACCTTCAGCAATAGCCCATTGTGCAGCTCTAGTGTGATGTAAATTAACTACTACTATTACTAAAAAAAGTCATTTTTAATAAACAATTTGTTGCAATATATATATTTATAATACAAAGTATACAATAAACTCTTCAACACTTCATTTGGAATCCTTTTTCTTTTTTGTTACGTTAACCAGAAGTTCTTAGCTTGAGCGGGATCGTCCAGCCATTCAAGTTTTGACTTGTTATCACTGAGAATGACGTCATTCTTTTCGCTCACAGGCACAATGCAGTGACTCAGCAAGGCATCGCTTTGGGATGGAATCCGCCCGTTCTCGAGTGGTTTGTACCCAGAAGACGGGTCTTTCTTCACCAGGGGCATCTCTTCGCCCAGATTTTGCTTCATCCAACGCCATTTCTTTTCTTGTTTCTTCTTATGAAGGTAGGGTTCGTAGAAGTGGACCACGAGACATATAACAGCCTACAGAAAGAAATACGAAAAAGAAATGGCTGTCACAAAACGAAAAAAAAATTCGGTTCACATGGATGATTAAGAGACTATACAGATTATGTACTTAATAATTATTTTAAGTATTCAGGAGAGATTTAGTACAAGTTACAAACTTTCAGGAGAAATGTAGTATACTTGAATTATCGAAAATCACATAACAAAAGATAATACAACTACGCTAAATTATTAGACGCACTATATGATTCTATTTAAAATCTTAATTATCAGGTGATACTCTATACAGCTTTATTGTTTTTACGCGACTATTTGCACTTGTTTACGTTCGTGTATCAATGGGTTAAAATAGACGATATATCATATAAATCAGACGATTGGATAAATTAGATATTATACAAATATAGTACTATATTAGTATATTATAATAATTAGACCAAAATATTAGGCCCGCTGTAGTTTTTTTAATNTTGCACGAGTTTATAGGCAATACTTTTATATTTAAACATATATGTAATGGGTTTTTTATTACGGAGATTTTTTTTATATACTTCCTATCTGTGTTTATTTTTAACGTATTGCATTGCAAATCTTAACTCATTGATACTCGAACATAAGCAAGTGTAAACCAGTTTCAACCGCATTTAAACAATACAGCTGTATAGTATCACCTGATAATTAAGATTTTCGATAGAATCTTATAGTGCGTCTAATAATTTGGTCAGGGACTGTGTAGTAATTCTAATTATTATTTATATACAATTATTATTCCTTTGATTTCAACTATTTAGAAAATTTAATACACAAAAAACGTCCGTATATGACTTAGATAAGAATGAAGCAAATTAGACATCCAGAAATAATAGGAAGATGTCGTACTTTTACGTTAGCTTCTGTATGCTCCCCTACGTAAGATTGAAGAAACTGCGCATGCTCGCTTTTATTTTAGATGCCACGTATCTGTTGGCGTGATTTACGCTACAAAGACAAAGCTACAAGAACTCGGTTTAAAGCTGTGAAATGTTGGTTCCTGTTTAAGCTTACTTTTGAACTGAAAACAATTCGAATATACATTATACATCGTCTAACTAAAAACGATTCGAATTCATATTATATATCGCCAAATTTAATCAATTGATACACTAACGTAAACAAGTGCAAACCGTAATTAAAAAACAATAAAGTTGTATAGTATAACCTGATAATTAAGATTATACATAGAATCCTACAGCGCGTCTAATAATTTGTGCCGGAACTGTATGTATACAATTTCATCTTCGTCTCGCACGAAACGATCACTTTAATTATTATAAATAATCTATATTTAGACTTTCAGAAAAGTCATTAGTCTTAGTCTTAAAAATTAAAGAATCATTCTCACTTAATGAAAATCAAATAATATCTATTATCTTAATAATATCTTGATGATATAATATCTTAAAATATAAATTATTTTACTTAAAATATCTATTTCATTTATTCGCAAAATGAGCTAAACAATATCCTAAACATGAAATGACCTTAGATTAAATTTGCTAAACAACATTCGAGAAGAATACTTCTAAACAAAATTTTATAATAAATTATTTGTTTACCAGAAATAAGAATATTCCTCCATAAACTGTGGTTGAGAGGCGCATGCCCAAATTTTCCGTCATAATTCCGGTTGTAACGCCACCGAACAGATTTCTGAAACATACAAATTTGCTGTTACACTTGTTTGGTCTAATTTCAAAATATAAATAAATAAGAGTTTGATTTAAATTTCATTACATATTACGATCTGTAAAGTACATACTCTTTGCAAGCTAATGTTTTTGTCTTATAAGAAGAGAAGAGAACATTTAAACCAGTAATTTCGAATTTTCCGACATTTCTATAATTAAAATTGATGAGTAGAAGATTTAAAAAATTCTTTTTAAATATTCCTCTAACCTCCTTAACACTTCCTTTTCCTTATCACCAAGTAATTACTGTAATTCAGTAATTATTACTGTAAAAATTACGGTATATCAGATTTTTGGTTACATGAGATTTTGTCGTAATTATTTAGGAATTTTTTCTACACTGTACTGTCGTTTCTACAACATTAAAAACTATTTTTACGCAATTTCAATTTGTTCTCTCCTTTTGCTTCGGTATTAGAAATTTCATCTTTGAATAGCTGCGCAAATAAATAGTATAGCTATGAGGATATAGAAATTCCATTGCTGCGCAAACCCACAATGTTACTATTTTATTTTCATTTTTACAACAATAAAAGTTATTTTTGTTCGTTTTCAAGTTTGTTTTTTTTTAATTTACATATAAAATTTTTTATATTTCCTGAAAAGTTCATAAATTTGAGAGCACGCTGATTTTTTTTAATTTGCATATATATTTTTGTGAAAGGAGCCTCTGGGGTCCATCATCATTCTTTTTTTAGGAACCACAACAAAATATATATCAACAATAAATTTAAACAATCACAAGTCAAACTAAGATAAAAGACTCTTATGCAATTTTTTTTTGTATCTTATAATGTCTGTTAAGTATGAGAGGGTCCGTTATATAAACTATATTTTCTTAAAACAGTTTATTCCTAACTATAGATGAGAACTGTTTTTTTTTACTAAAAGCTATTTATCAGAAATTTGTTCCCAAGACTGCAAAACTTTCTGAAGTAGTTTCCACTTTAAAACTCATAAATATAAGCAAAGCCAAACAACTAAATGGGAGCTATTTTTTTTTTCCCGTTCCAATACTTTTTCACATTTTCTGCTTTAAATCATGACTATCTGTAAAATGTAGTAAACAGAAATATTTACTTCTCTCAATTTTTTTTTCAATCTTAACGCTTGAGTTAATATTAAGAATAATATATCAGAAAGAGATTACTTGTTGCTAGCTATAACGGATTCACATTGAAATTTTTAAAGATGTAAAAAATTAATTTAAGAGTTTAATTAAGAGTTTTAGGAATGAAAAAATAAACTGTTTCACTGAAATAGGGTTATCCTACGACACGAGGCTGTTGTAAAATAGTGTTAGCGAGTAAAATTATTAATTTTTGTTGCACATTTTGTTTCATAGATGAAGGTTGACATTGTCGATAACAACTCTCCCCACATTGGTGACCCGGACATGATGTGAACGCGCCTACCTTGACAGTAACTCCCACTTCGATCTGAAAACGCCTACTTTGATGAATGGTCCACATTGAACAGTTTACTTGCTACTTGTGACACCAACATTGTCCTCCTCACGCTGTTGCTTCTCAGTCTCGATCACATACAACGTATTCACTCGACTGCTAAAGGCAACGCAAAAGCGTCCCCGCCCGTGAACTTAATACAGCTCTCACGATCAGCACTTAAAAAGTACGGTGATATTAATACAGCTCTTCCGTCTTCTCAACTAACAGCAATGAATCACTTAGGAGTATCCGTTCATCGAATTCTGTATCACAGATACAATTCTGGTGGCGAAGGAGTACTGTAGTGCATCTACTACTACAGAAATATAATTCCAATTCACAGGTATGTAAGACATGTTAACTCGATTCTATGGTGGGGGACCTTTCCATAAATGAAGGCTGACATTGAATAATTGAAGGCTCCCCTATTGTCATTCAACCTCTGATTGCTACGCTCGCTAACTCCCGAAACTGTTTTCACAGTACCTTTTGGATGGATTGACAATTCGTAGTCGTATATTTCAGTCTGGCTTGGTTTGTATTTGATAGCATTTTAGTTTTTATTGTTATATCTAACTGATTGAAATTACAAAAAAAAAAAAAAAAAAAAAAAAAAAAAAAAAAAAAANAAAAAAAAAAACTCGAATTAAGGTCAGAAATAAAGATGGTTACTTCAGCAAGTCAAATTTCAACTGTTATGTTGCATTCCTAC